CCTCCCACTGTGACACTGCCCCCCCCACCCATGGTCCCACCGCCTAGCAGCATTCTATGTGACCAACACACAGATTCGCACACAGGCACGTATTCAAACACAAACAGACCCACACAAATATATACATATATACACACAGTCTCTCTCTCTCACACACACACACATTTACTCTCATACACACTCAGACACGCTCTCACCTACATTCAGACTCTCTTGCATTCTCAATGTCTTGCGCAAACACACACACACATTCACGATCAAGCTGTTCTAAAAATTTGTTTCTTTTATTTTCTCCACCCTCAAAAGATACTCAATCTGACTGTGCTCTGTGCTGCATGGGTAAATACTGCTTCCCTGTCCTGCACCCAAAAGTCTATGCCCACTGCGGCCTGTTTGTCAGGGACACAGGATCCAGAGAGTAAATCAAACAGTCTGGAATAAAAGCCCTGTCCTCACTGGTGATCTCTCGCTTCACTTGTTGGCACAGAGGGAGGTAGTTAACTTCTGTCATTAATCAGAAAAGGGAGAAGCAAACAGGTTGTTCCCAATGTTAAATGTTATGCAAACCTTAAAATCTCTGTTGTAACCTCAATAGCAAATTCCTGTAAACAGCCGAGTTCTTGGAACCTCCCAGATTTCCTAAAACCAGAATCGTTCAGACAGGAAGCCTCTGATTCTAAGCTATCAGATATTTGGAAATCATTCTGTTTTGAAGCTATCGTTCAGCAAGTTCTTGAGGGGGAGGTGTTGGTGCTTGGATCAAAGAGTATTGGTTCCACTATGTTCCAGACCTAGTCTGTGCTGACTCAGCTGACCTCAGTAAAGATTAAACATTCACTCCCTCAGGAGTATCAGTGTGTGTGCTATCTCCTAGATGCACTGCAAAAATTCACCAAGGCTCCTTAGACAGCACCTTCCAAACCCACAACTACTTCCATCTTGAAGGGCAAGGTCAGCAGATACATGGAAACACCGCCCCCCGCCCCCCCCCCCCACCCCCCCGAGCAAGTTCCCCTCTACTCTGACTTGGAAATTCAACACCGTTCCTTCGGTATTGCTGGGCCAAAATCCTGGAATGCACCCCCCCTCCCAGCCCCAAGGACAGCCAAGGACTACCCAAGGGCGGCACGGTGGCACAGTGGTTAGCACTGCTGCCTCAGAGCACCAGGGACCCGGGTTCGATTCCAGCCTCGGGCGACTGTCTGTGTGGAGTTTGCACATTCTCCCCGTGTCTGCGTGGGTTTCCTCCGGGTGCTCTGGTTTCCTCCCACAGTCCAAAGATGTGCAGGTTAGGGTGGATTGGCCATGCTAAATTGCCTGTAGTGTTCAGGGAGGTGTAGATTAGGTGGGTTATAGGGGGATAGGTCTGGGTGGGATGCTCTGAGGTTTGGTGTGGACTTCTTGGGCTGAAGGGCCTGTTTCCACACTGTAGGGATTCTATGATTCTACGGCTCAAGAAGGCAGCTCACCCCCACCTTCTCAAGGGGCAACTAGGATGGGCAATTGGACAAAAACCCCCTTACTGGAAATAAAGCTCATGCTCAGAAGGTTCCTCCATCATTGGGGTTGCCTGTAGAGCGGCTTAAACCCATACCCCTTCAACTCAAAATGAGTGATCAGTGACTGAAGCTAAGCAGCGTCTGGCAAAGAGACAGCCAGGGTCCACACTGCTTTGACTGATGCCTGCTTGAGAGTGTGCATTGGCTGAACACAAGACTATCCTGACTTGCTTCCTCAATGGGATTGAGCAACTTGCCAATGTTTCATTGTTAGTCCAAAAGAAGATTGGGTGAGGAACTGGAGAATGACAGACAACTGCAACTTCAGGGAAAGATAAGAAAGAAAGAGGCAGAAATAAAAAATATTTTGCAGTCATTTGCAAAAACATGGAGCAGGAAATCACACTGAATTGCTTCATTTTGGGAGGAGGAATAGAAAAGGATAACATTGATTAATTGTTGTCACATACCGAGATACAGTGAAAAGTTTTGTTTTGCATGCTCTACAGGCAGATCGTACCGTACAAAGTGCATCAGGGTGAACAGAGTGCAGGATACAGTGTTACAGCCGCAGAGAGAGAGATCAGAATTAGCATTTGAGAGGTCCATTCAAAAGTCTGATAACAGCAGGGAAGAAGCTGTTCTTGAATCTGTTTGTAGTGTTTTCAAACTTTTGTATTTTCTGCCTGAAGGAAGAGGGTGGAAGAAAATATAACCAGGGTGGGAGGGGTCTTTGATTATGCTGGTTGCTTTCCCAAGGCAGGAGCTAAATGTAGAGAGAGTCAATGGATGGGAGACTGGTTTCGTGATGGACTGGCCTGTGTTCACAACTCTGTGTAGTTTCTTGCGGTCTTGGAAAGAGCAGTTACCAAACTAAGCCATGATGCAATTAAACCTGGGTTCCTGGTGCTGTGAGGAAACAGTGCCAACCACTGAGTTACCGTGCCACTCTAGCAAATTGATCAAACATGACTTCCCTTTCCCGAAACCGTTTTGTCTCTGATTGCTTTAAGCCTTTCTAAATGTCCTGCTCTTTCTTCCTTAACTATGGACATTTGGATTTTCACCCAACTGGCCCATAGTTTCTTGCTTTCTGCTCAAGAAGAGAGGGAGACAGGAAGATCATATCAGCGGTTTTGCAATCCACTGGAAGCCTCCCGGAATCTAGTGATTCTGGAATATTTCAACCAATATCTCCACTATCTGTGTGGCCATTTGCATTAAAGTGCTTGGATTCAGACCATCAGATATTGGTGACTGCTCTGTCTTTAGTATAACTACTGTTGTGGGGTGGCACTATAGATCAAACCAATTTACCTCAATTTGTGCCATTAATTCATCCACCTTGTTAGGAGTGCTTTGTCCATTCAGGTAAAGTGCTTTTAATTTTAACATTTCCCATGTTTTCCCTGCCTTAACTGTGTTTACAAACACACAATGACTGTTAAAAGCTCTCAGTCCCTTCCTCTCCCCTTCTGCTTGACTTTATCCCAATTGCTACACTGCTCTATGATTTCCTTTAACCGATCCCACATTTTCTGCATCCACAGTCATAGAGGCAACATCCTTATAAATCTTTTCTGCACCCTTAACAACATCTTTGTTGTAGAGGGGAGACCACAATTGAACGCAATATTCCAAAAGTGGCCTCAAACCTAGTTCTATGATTCAGTAGGGCAGCCTGATTTAAGGTCATCCCAAGGGCACAGTTCCCTCTGGTCCAAGTGACCCCTGAGTTGGAAACTCTTTCTGCCCACACCGCTGTTTGTTTGGATGATGAGTTCGGCTCCTTGACTGGTTCGACCCTTTGCCAATTTGCGTGGTGCCCTGTAATAATCTTCAGTCTCGGTGCAGTGATGGGTGGAGCAGGCAGCCTGGTTGCCCGTGGTTCAAGAATGTCACTGTCCTGTTCCCACTGAAATTTGGCATGTCCGCAATAACTCTTAACAATTTTTATAGATGCGCCATTAAAATGGATGCATCACAGCTTGGTATGGCAGCTGCTCTGCCCAAGACCGCAAGAAATTAGAGTTGCAAACATAGCCCAGTCCATCTTTAAAACCAGCCTTCCATCCATTGGCTCTGTCTACGCTTACCGCTGCCTCAGGAAAGCAACTAATACAATCAAAGACCCCTCCCACCCCGGCTATACTTTCTTCCTTCGGCCAAAAGATACAGAAGTTTGAAAACACATGCCAACAGATTGAAGAACAGCTTCTTCCCTGCTGTTATCAGACTGATGAACAGACCTCTCATATAATAGAGCTGATCTTTCTCTGCACCTTCTCTGTAGCTGGAACACTATGTTCTGCATTCTGTTCTCTTACCCTGATGTACTTATGCAAGGTAGGATTTGTCTTGTTAACACGCAAAACAATACTTTCCACTGTATCTCAGTACCTGGGACAATAATAAATCAAATCAAGACACTGGTTTGGCCAAGTGAAAATCAGCCCCATTGCTGGACTGAGAGTGCCCTCTAGCCTCACAGGGGAATGCTTCCTCCCAGCTGGAGAACAGGAGGCAGATGGCAACTTACCTGTCGACTCTTTTGTCTCTTGATTGAAGTTCATTGTGTTACAATCTTGCTCAGGCTCTGAGCTCTCTGAAATTAAATGAAAACAAAGAAACAGCCATAAATGATAGGGGAACTTTTTTTTTGGATTTCTCCTGACCCTTTGGATAGCTTCAATGGAAAAGCAGCAGAATTGGCCAAGACTTCACAATGGATGTGTGTGTGTGTGTGTATGTGTATCTGTGTGTATGCATCTCGTTTGTGAGTATCTTGTGTGTCCGTGTAAATATGCATCTGTGTGCGGGTGTGAGGCTCTGTGTCTGTGTGTGGGTATCTGGGTATGTGGCATGAGGAAGAGGAGGAAACTCTAAGTGATGTTTGCATCTCACTCGTGCTCAGCGCAGTCAGTTGTCGTTTAATTCGGGCATTGCACAGCCACCCAAGCTTCCAAAACTACGTCAGAGATTCTCACTGCTGACATGCACCTTGGGAAGCATGCCAGCACTGACCGACTGTGCTGCAAGCTTATTAGACGCATGACAGTATTGGTAAGAGTGACCGCTGCACAGTCCTTGCGGAGACCAAGTCCTGCCCTCATATTGAGAATATCCTCCATCGTGTTGTGTGGCACTATCACCATGCTAAATGGGACAGATTTTGAACAGTTCTAGCAACTTTGGCATCCATGAGGTGCTGTGGGCCATCAACAGCAGAAGAATTGTACTCCAGCACAATCTGTAACCTCATGGCCCATATATCCCCCACTAACCCATTACCATCAAGCCAAGGGATCAACCCTGGTTCAATGAAGAGTGCAGGAGGGCATGCCAGGAGCAGCACCAGGGATACCTGAAGATGAGGTATCAACCTGGTGAAGCCACCAAACAGGATTACTTGCACACCAAACAGCGAAAGCAGCAAGTGACAGACAGAACTAAGCGATCCCACAACCAACGGATCAGATCTAAGCTCTGCAGTCCTGCCACATCCAGTCGGGAATGGTGGTGGACAATTAAACAACTCACTGGAGGAGGAGGCTCCACAAATATCCCCATCCTCAATGATGGAAGAGCCCAGCACATCAGTGCAAAAGATAAGGCTGAAGCATTCGTAGCAATCTTTAGCCAGAAGTGCTGAGTGGATGATCCATCTCAGCCTCCTCCAGTGATCCCTAGCTTCTGGGCTTGAAAATTGCAGCGATGAGGTACAATTGGAAAGGCAAGAGTTGTTTTCCTCAGAACAGAGGAGGCTGAGGGGTGATTTGATCGATGTTACAGAGTGGACAGGGAAAATCTGTTTCCCCTATGGGAGAGGTCAATTAGCAGGAGGCATAAATTTAAGGTGCTGGGGGAGAGGGTGGGAAGGAGCCCAGAACCAAATACTTAGCTAGTAAACTTGGTCTTTGAACACACACTCCTGCGAATGTAAATTCAATCCCCTAAGAGCAATTTGGAACATACTGTCAGAGAGAAAGCAGATAACAAGGAATCAAAGAGATGAAGCAATAGCAAGAGACAGAGCTAACAAACACCTCATCGAAGAGTAAAAGCAACAGAGTTAAAAGAACCCAGAGGAGAGAGGGAAGGAAATGCCGAGCTAAGGATTTGCACAGGCATCATTGATGGAGGTACTCAATCTCTCAAAAATAATGATGATTTTTACCTGTTGGTTCGCTCTTTTCCTGCTTGAGTGACATGATGAAAGCAATCTGTCGCAACTCGGAGAAGTCGGTAACAGCTCGTTTCCTGGAATGGATGTGAGCAAATATTCGATGAGATGTGAGAGAGCAGTGAGGGGTGGAGGTGGGTGAGGGGGAGATGAATCAGCAAACTTCTTAGGAGTCAAAGTGAGTTTCATCCAAAGAGCAGCCAAGGCACAGCGAAAGCTGCCAGACTATTTGGTCAGGGAACTGCCTACGTTTTATCTTTTGGGGAGGGAGAGGTTGTGGATGGGTGAGGGACTGAGTGCAACTTGAAGATTCCAGGCCAACCTTTCAGCTGAGCTTTTACATTCTACCTTGACAACCTCACTGCCTATAGCAAAACAACAGGAGGAATAAATTATTGGAAAATGTAGCAAACATGTCGGGTATGGGTGGAACAGTGCCAGGGCATACTCAATCCAAGCTGCCAGCGCTATGTGGGATCTTTCTGAGCTCCACCATGCCATCACACAAGGTCAAAAGAAGAGGTCAGGGTGGGTGGGTATGCACGGCTGTGCCACTGACCAACTTCTGCTCACACATTAATCAGGGTGGCATGTTTTTGCTGATATGCCAGCCTCGGATGCCAAGCAAGTATCAGGGAGGCCAAAACAGAAATTACTGGAAAAATCTCAGCATGTCTGGCAGCATGGGCGGAGAGAAATCAGAGTTAACATTTCAGGTCCGGTGACAGCATGGTGGCTCAGTGGTTAGCACTGCTGCCTCACAGCGCCAGGGACCCGGGTTCGAGTCCACCCTCGGGTGACTGTCTGTGTGGAGTTTGCACATTCTCCCTGTGTCTGCGTGGGTTTCCTCCGGGTGCTCCAGTTTCCTCCCACAGTCCAAAGATGTGCAGGTTAGGTGGATTGGTCATGGGAAATTGCCCGTAGTGTTTAGGGATGTGTAGCTTAGGTGGGTTAGACATGGGAAATGCCCACTTACAGGGAAAGGGTAGGGGAATGGGTCTGGGTGGGATGCTCTTCAGAGGGGCAGTGTGCATTTGCTGGGCCGAATGGCCTGTCTCCACACTGTGGGGATTCTATGATTCTATGATCCTTCTTCAGAACTGGAGGCAATGGCCTAGTGGTACTATCACTAGACTATTAATCCAAAAAAACTCAGCTGATGTTCCGGGGACCCGGGTTCAAAACCCGCCACGGCAGATTCAATAAAAAAAAGTCTGGAATTGAGATTCCCTCATGTCCTTTAGGGAAGGAAACTGCCATCCTTACCTAGTCTGGACTCTGTGGTTGACTTTAAACTGCCTTCTGGGCAATTTGGGATAGGCAATAAACACTGGCCAAACCAGCAATGCCCTCATCCTGTGAGTGAATAAAAGATGTGCAACACCAGCTCCTTCAAGTACTAAGTACTCATCTCATCTCTCTCTCAAGAGAAACCCAGTCATAGAGTCATAGAGTCATACAGCATGGAAACAGACCCTTCTGTCCAACCAGTCCATGCTGAGCATAATCCCAAACTAAACTAGTCCCACCTGCCTGCTCCTGGCCCATATCCTGCCAAGCCTTTCCTATTCATGTATCTATCCAAATGTCTTTTAAACATTGTAATTGTACCCACATCCACCACTTCCTCAGGAAGTTCATTCGACACGCGAACCAGCCTCTGTAAAAAAATTGCCTCTTAGTGTCGTCTTTAAATCGCACTCCTCTCACCTTAAAAATGTACTCCCTAGTCTTGAAATCCCTCATTCTCGGGAAAAGAGAACTACAATTAACTATATCTATACCCCTCATTGTTTTATAAACTTCTGTCAGGTCGCGTCTCAACCTTTTATGCTTCAGTGAAAAAAAGTCCCAGCCTATCCAGCCTTTCTTTACAGCTCAAACCTTCCATACCCGGCAACATCCTGGTAAATCTCTTTTGAACCGTCTCCAGCTTAATAATATCCTTCCTATTACTGGGCGACCAGAACTGGACACACTACTCCAGAAGAGGCTTCACCAATGTCCTGTACAACCTCAACATGACATCCCAACTCCTATACTCTAACGACTGAGGCAAGCGTGCCAAATGCCTTTTTAACATCTCAGTCCTCTGGTCACAATCCACTGCACAGTTGTAGGTCTGGACTCACTTTCACAAAAAGTGCATCAGTACACACCCGTTGTATATTTTCAACAATTCTGGAATGGCCTGCCAGGTCCCTGCTGTCTCATTAGCAAGATCATAAGACATAGGAGCAGAAGTAGACGATTCAGCCCATTCAACGAGGTCATGGCTGATCTGATCATCCTCAACTCCACTTTCTTGCCTTTTCCCCATAACCCTCGATTCCCTTCCTGATTAAAAATCTATGTCAGCCTTGAATATACTTAATGACTGAGCCTCGACAGCCCTCTGTGGTAAAGAATTCCACAGATTCACTCCCCTCTGAGAGAAGAAATTCCTCCTCATCTCTGTGTTAAATGGGTGAGCCCTTATTCTGAGATTGTACCCTCTGGTCCTAGACTCTCTCACAAGGGGAAACAACCTCTCCACATCTCCCCTGTCACATCCACTCAGAATCTTGTATGTTTCAATAAGGTCGCTTCTCATTCTTCTAAACTCCAATGAGTACAGGCCCAACTGACTCAACCTCTCCTTGTAAGACAGACCCTCCATTCCCGGTGCTGAGAGAAAGCAGCTCACAGCTCTTGCCAGCTCAGGGAAGAGAGCTGCAACAAAAATGCAAGCTGGCGGCTCAGTGCCAGCGAGTTTTGCCAGGGCAGTA